AGTTATTCTTTTAATTTAGCAATCATCTTGTTATATTCTACCTTAATTATGGTATTGTTTCAAAAATTAGTTCTAATTTGCATGCAAGTGAAGCTTTTCGGTAAAATAATGAATAATTCTGACATTTCTGATCCGAGCGATCGCGTTTTGGTTCTGAATTTGCAATCGAATTTTTCAAGTGCCGCTCTAGACTTGTGAGCTGAGCTGCACTCATCATGCTGCAGACTGGTCATGCTGCAGACTATTAATATTGCCGACACATCATGCTGCAGACCAATCTATTCTCCAGCATGCTGCTGGAGAACAATCATGCTACTGCATGACACATCGTCCGGCCGGCATATCATGCTGCAGATTCGTTCTTGGGGCAGATTCATCATGCTGCCGTTTCATGATGCTGTTCACTAATCATGCTGCAGACTCGTCATGCTACAGACTAAAGTCTGTAGACAAGAGGTCTCCAACACACCAAAGCAAGCATCAGGCGCGCCACAAACGCGCGTAATCTTCTATCACTAAAATAGCGTCTTCTATCACTCGGCAGGGTTGGCAGTCCTGGCCTTTCTCTCTCCCTCCCTCTCCCTTCCCCCACTTTCTTAAACTTCCCTTTCCTTTTGCGGATATTGTTGGTTTTTAGCCCCCCAAAGAACCCTCACAGCGAGACTCCGCCCATTCCATCGGCACCCTCAATTCTCCCCCAAAGAACCCACTCCCCCATCTCACCCCTCCCTCCCTCCCACCTTGCACCCTTTCACCCGCCTGTGCTGCTTCTCTCTCACACTCCCTCCCCCTCGCCTGTAGCCCCTCCCCCTCCCCCTTCTCTCTCTCGCTCGACTCACTGAAGCTCGGATCGCTCGTCTGCCGTGCAGCCTTCACCAATGCCGGCATTATCGCGCCAGAAAACATGTCAATGATTGAGAAAATGTTCATGTACATTCAGCATATAATGGTCTTTGATTGCGAAAATGTTTATTTAAATTCAATAAAAAATAGTCAGCTTCTGACGATGATTATGAACATGTTTGTGCGCTTACAATAATGGTTGTTAGTTCATGTCTTTGATTACAAACATTTTAAATGGGCATGACTATTTTTGTTCAGTGAAGAATAGCCAATTTGTCACGAGATTATGAACATATTTGTGATTCGATAAATAATAGTCGGTATTCACTCATGGCCGAACAATGCTAGCTCCAAACCCAGTTATATCTTACTACGAAAACTTCGATTCCAGCAATTGAATAACATTTATTCGATATTTTTTTGTAGCCAACGATAACAGTTCGAGAACCGCGTGCTATCCTCGGGTGAACTAATAACGTTTTTTCACAAAACAGCGCTGCCAACAGTTTAATAATATCTCTATTTTCTCGTGTAGCGCACATTTAATTTACCTGTAGCGATATGGCTTCACATTTACGCGTTTATCTCGCATATGATAAACCGCAAGTAAAGAACATTGTATCTGGATGACCTAAATACTGTATGGAACATTATACACTGAACCTACAAAATACATCTATTCCGACTATTCGTATTTACTATACGTACACGAAACATTATTCAGTTAGAAGTCCGGTCATACATAATTTGTATTAATTCTTGACTTCTTGTGTTGGAAATAAACATTTCTTCGTCGGTTGTTTTCTTAAAATTTGCAATTTGGTTGTTTGAGAATTTTTGCATCAGTGTTTCCCGAAATATTTTCGCGAGTCATTAAATTGATCATAATGTTTTCATGCAAGTTGCGCTTTAGTTGTCAGATGCGAGGTGGAAATCAATGGATATTAATATAATAATTCAGAAATATCTCGTAGATTATACATCATTTGTAATCTATTTCAAGTTAATTAATTATTTGTTCATTTAATGCAATTAGTTTCTTGGAAAATTCAACTAAAAATTCTCATGAACAACGTAAACAAAATTAATCTCAAAACAAAGGAATTTGTTTAAATTTCTACCTTCAATTCAAGCGAAAATTTGTAGAAGTCATTAATATTCAATTTTTATTACTGAAGTCTTTCATCCCTGAAATTTTTTTAGCCCAAGCTAGTATCATTGCTCCTAATTGGCGCGAACTAATTAACATAATGAAGGCTTGAATGATTAATGAGTACCGATATAATATACTAAATTTGAATATATATTTATTCGCGGTTATTTGCTTTATTACAATATAATTATTATTACTGCATTAACTTTACTTGCGCTAAATATAAATATTTTTAACACGATATAATAGAAATAATTCACATTAAAAACTAATTCTTTCCTCAATTGAATATTGAGGAATTTTAAACTAGTTATTATTATTAATTATTAAAAACTAATGATTTTATAAGGCACCTCCCATGGCAGCCTCCGCCGCCGATATCTCCGATACACTCAGGGAGACGAGTGAGCCTTTGTCCAAATATCTATGAAACTTTCTCCCTTTATTCTGGTCTTCATGACCCAGTTTAGCCCGGTAAAAGAGCGATGTGTAAAAAGTGAGTCACTATATGGACAACATGTTCCATTCATTCTTTTGAGTGTACCAACACTTAATATGTTGGATGTATGATGGAAAATGTATGAATAAATAATTAATATTTTGTATGTATTATTGAATATGTACGAAAAAATAATTAATATACTAATTGTACGATGGAAAATGTATGAATAAATAAATAATATATTGGTTGTATGATGGAAAATGTATGAATAAAGACTATTCTGTCTGTATATGCATGATCAAAGGATCTTGGCTTTAAGCCCGTATACTCATAAAAATGTTGGAGATTTGGTCAAATATTGCCAATATGTGGGTCACTTTGACTCAGTTGGGCCCCGCAAGAAGCCGTATCAGTGCTACCGAGCGTCTTGCTGAGTGTAAGAAAGTTTGACACTTGACCTGTTAGTTTTCTGAGTGAGTGCTGATATGCATTGGGCGAATTGTTAAGTGGTGGTCTGTGAGAGGTGGTCTGTAAGTGGTGGTCTGTAAGTGGTGGTCTGTAAGTGGTGGTCTGTAATTGTGGTAGTCTGTACGTGGTGGTCAGTATGTGATGACATATCAAAATGAACACTGCAGTTGTGGTGCAATTTATATACTGCATTCATTACTGCATTAATTCTTAAATTATTGATTCATAAATTGATTCAACGAGTCATCCGCGGTAATGAGTTGTATCAATTATTTCTTAGCCCTCGCGTCATATCAATTTATCCCTCGTGTCTTATCAATTTATCACTCGTTTCAAATCAATTTAGCCCTCGCGTCATATCAATTTATCCCTCGTGTCATATCAATTTATCCCTCGTTTATCAATTTATCCCTCGCGTCATATCAATTTATCCCTCGTGTCCTATCAATTTATCCCTCGTGTCTTATCAATTTATCCATCGTGTCTTATCAATTTAGCCCTCGTGTCAAATCATTAAAGCCCGCCTGTTGTATTTATTTAGCTGCTCAATTTCATCATCTCGAAATGCATTAATCCAGAATTCACCATTTCCTTTCACGCAATAATTAGAAATTACGTTTTTTACTTCAGAAATGCATGGGGTTGAACTCTACCTTATTTCTCTTATCATTAATATTTAGCATGAAGGGAGAGTATGTAGCATGTACTCTGTAGATACTGTTTTGTAGGTAGATACTATTTTGAGTCGCTCGACCTTACTACGTTGAACGCATATAGTGTTAGTTAATCTATATGTAATTTTTAATTAATATATAGTGTTATTTAATCTATATGTAATTTATAGTTTATGTATAGTGTTATTTAATCTATGTGTAATTTATAGCTTATATATAGTGTTATTTTAATCTAATCAATAAGTTTCTAAACTGACGGGCAATTTACGCGAGGCGCCTGAATGTCTATAACAATATCAGAAATTCTTCAAGTTTACTACTGAATGACAACAACAAACGAAAATGTATTGTTTTCCGCAGTACATGCAATTTTTTGCATTTTTATGGTGGAGTTCCCGATTGGTCGCAGCGAGATCGGAGGAGCGAGTTGCACGTTAGACAATCGAAGCTAGCTATACAAAAAAATTCTGTTCTGTAATGTCAAAAATTCGGTAATTTCGGCATGGGGGCCGAGTGGTTACAGGTCGCAGCGAAAGTTGGAGCAGTGAGTTGATGGCTTGAATGTTTTGACGATGGTGATACCAAACCTTCCAACGTTGATGTTTAGCTAGTGACAATTTTTTTTTAATTTTGCCTTCGTTCGCGAATTAGGCGGAGAAACGACCGGCATTTCTCAGGCCGATTTTTAAACTTGCATTGACTAAGAGCCGTATATGTAAAGCCGTGTAACTCGAAAACGAAGTCAAAATCGAAAAAAAACATGTCACGAGCATAACACCACCGTTGGCAGGTTAGGTATTCATATACGGAGTTTCGTTCAAATCTGTTCAGTATTTAGAAATTTCTTGTTCACTGTGAATTTAACCATGTATTGCTGTTTAAGCCACGAATGAGGGGAAATGAAAAAAAAAACTCGCGAACGAAGGCAAAATCTAAAAAATTGTCACGAGCTAAACATCACAGTTGGGAGGTTAGGTTTGTATATTCAAAGTTTCGTTCAAATCTATGCAGTACCTAGTTTAGACGAACTGGTCACTGCAAATTTCGGCACGTATCGCCATATAACTCACGAATGAAGATGAAATTACGCAAATTTTCACCCGCTAAACATCACCGTTAGGGCCTATTGAATGTGTGTACCAAGTTTCATTGAGCCACGATTATCACTGGGAGATATTTTTTATTCACTGAATATGGGGAGACCGGCCGTGAGTCCGTCGGTAAATTTGTCCAAGACGTATATCTGAGTCTCCTGTATATCATGAAAAAAATAATACTCAATAAAATGTCACATATGTAAATTGGTGGAACTTAAGTGAAAATTCAAAGGTTTATGGTGTATTTTATAAGTGTTATACTTCTATTTCTATAGGGTAAAAATTATTGTAGATCGGCAATTAACCTAAGATTCCTCCAAATTTTTCCAGTGTACCTCGAGTCTCCGCGCTGTTTGGGTGTATTTTGTAAAGTTATTCGAGCAGAGGTCATTCGAAATTATTTTATCATGTCACTTAAAGATTTAAAAGTGCATGCTGCTGCTCCCGAAGAAGAGGTAATATGATCTCGAAAAAACAATGTTGTAAATATAGATTATACTTCTGTTAAGTATGCTGAAGTGAGTTTTAGTTGAATATTTTTCTTTAGCCGGCATCAATGATCGATCAATCGTAAAAAATATCAACCTAAGGCTAATGTTATTGTTTTGTAAAATAAATTGAAAATGCAGGTTTTTATACAGAATTAGTATAAATATTTTACTTGGTGAATGTTGAAAATATAGATAGGTATTTGCTTGGTGTTGGTGATAATATATGTTGCCAGTAAACCGGGCAGTAATGTTGGTCATTTTGTTTGATTTTTAAACTGAGAAATTTATGTGTTCCATATTGCAATTCATTTGATTTGATTTTGTTGTACCTAATATGATTTCAGATTTGTACACTTTCAAGTATATGAATACATTTTCTTTCGTTCTTTTGCAGGAGGAAGAGGAGTTGGTGGTGAGTACTGAGTACTGACAGAGTAGCTATCTCAAATGAGTAGGGTAAACGCGGTATATTCCGACACATTGAGGACGCATCAAGAAATAAAAAATTATTTAAAAAAAACGTATGCGTTACGTAAGTTCTGTTGCCTTCACATGACTCTCAAAACACTTCACTACGCATCAGCAACAATGAAACGTCACAAAATGTTGCCATATTTATTAAAAAACCTTTAGAATGGAAACCTACTAAATCCCTATATTCCGTCACTTTGTGTGGCAATATTCAACACGTGGTGAGTCGTATTGCGTCAGCGCTTCAAATTTAACTGATACGTATTGCCGACATCCACTAATCAATTTTCATTACATTGCGCCAACTGTGCACAGCAATAGCTTAAAAAAAGTGAAAATGCGCGGGAAAATTCACCGAAAACATACATCATCCTGAGTCTGGGATAGGAGTTCATGTTGACCTCTTAATTTACAAAATGATTTTTTGAGAAATTTTGAGTAAAAATATGTTCTTTCACGATTGGTTTTTTAAAAAATTGTTAGCATAGCAAATATATACTTTTTTTCTCATGGGTTGCTGCAGGTCAGGAAAAGTTTTTTTTTTCTGAAATATCGCAGCTCTAATATCATATAATTTCAGTAGGTATGAAATCTCATGGCTCTAATGTCATGTATTTTTGTTTGATTGAAAAAATTGTTTGCTCTTCGCACACCAAACACATTGTTTCAGCCTTTCAGGAAATTTTTAACTTCCACAATCCACATTACTTCAATACTCGTGCCAAAATATCTTGCAGAACATAATTACGAGTCAACCCAAAAAATTTCCTTGAAGATAGCGTACCGTCAAACGGGGTAAAAAGGGACAGGCGGGGTAAATCGGGATGCGCGTCCCACATTTGTAGAAATGTTGTAGCAGCTAAACTTATGAAAATATTGCAAAACTAAAAATAGTGGCATAAACTTCTACATTTTTACTATCTATTATGTATAAAGCTAGTCAAGAAATCAAACATTTACTATCTTTAAAAAATTGCTGAAAAAAGTGTGAAAAGTGCGATTTTGGAAAAGTACCTCTGCTAAGGTCTGGAGCAAAAAAATATTTGCCGTATTAAAAATTTTACTTACATAAAAGTTGCACCCAGGTGTCGGCTTGCAAACGTAATTGACAGAATTTGCCTATCTCATTCCAAAAAAATGGCAGCCATTTCTGCACGGCGGGGCTACTCGGGACACCCCCCCCAGGGTAATTAGGGACACCCTTAAAAATGCATTTACAGTAGAACCTCAGTTAGCAAAGGTTCCAGTTAAGAAAAAAATTTATTAACAACAAAGAATTTTGATTACATTTACCTTGCTCAGCGAAAAAAAATTCACTTATCAAAAAATTAGTGCATCATTGGTCGTCACAAAATTGTACATAGAATGCTATATATAGAATTGTGCACCAGGCATCATAGAATGAAAAGTAATTGACCTAAACTATGATTTATTTCTCCAAAACATATGATGGTTGTCACTAAAACATTATTTTCTGTTTCAGGGATGTTTTTCACGATCTTTTTTGTTATAGTGAAATCACTTGACTCACTTAAAATTGTGTGAAATTACAAACCATCCTGTAAGCTTACAGATACAGAAGAAATGCTTCATGGCTGTTGATATGAAGCTTGCAGTGGACAAGGTTGTTGTCAATGCTCAATGGCATGTCCATGGATACAGTAATATCACATTAATAATACGGTAATTAATGAATATGGTAATATAATATCAATAAAGGAAAAACAAGTAAAAACACAGAAAATGTCATTTATTTTACATCTACATCATCTACAATGAAAGAAGAGGACTTCAAAGAACTATTAGTAATGGATGAGTACACTCTGCATGCTTCAAACATTTTAAAATTAACTTTTATTGCAAGTGTCCCAGATTGTCCCAGGGGTAAATCAGGATGGTTTTATTTTGTGTCTGGCACCTTACGAATAGCATATGGAATTTTTTGAAGATGCCATTGGATAGCCCTCGCAAAGAGCTATAATATGAGCCTAAACTTGTTTCTGAAATGTTTCATGGTAAGAAGTTATTAACAAAAAATGCTCAAAACCGTCCCTTTTTACCCCGTTTGACGGTAGTTTCGGTCACGTCAGAGCGGTCAAACTGCATTATCACATGTTCAGCTGCTACTTACGTGAAGACAAATGTTATGTTGTGTTGCTGTACAATTGGACTGTTTTTAGGTTAAAATTAGATATTTGGGGTAACATGTAAATAAGTTTGCAGCTTGTAAATGGCTTTTTCATGGCTGAGATATGGAATTCATGACTCAAAGAAATGGAATTCATGGCTCAAAGAAATTGAACCATGGCTGGCAAACCCATATAACCATGGCTGGCAAACCCATATAACCATAGCTTGGAAAATCTAGTCACAGCTTGCCAAGTAGATATATTTCATGCCTTAGTTGCTGAAGAAATTTGACTAGGTTCATTCTCCATAGGAATAAATAATTGGATGAAATTGTCCATGAGCATTTTTTTGTCTCATTTAATCTCAATGGTTGCCAGGTTATAAAGTATATATATCGCTTTTAAGCTCAAGATATTAGCCTTGTTATAAGCTCAAAGTCAGCCATTTTGATCATGAATTGTATCCATAACCAATAATAACCAGGGATTGATTGCTCAACACCTCTGTCACCTTGTGTGTCTCCTGCTTATTTTGATTGCTTGTATCTGTCATCCACAGCAATTGCAATGTGTATATGCCTGTGCCAATCATCATGCTTTGGCCATATTGCTCATAAATTACAATCTGTGAAGAAACATAACCATCAAACAGGGTAATAAAGGATGATTTTGAGCATTTTTTTGTTAATAACTATTTGCCATGAAACATTTCATGAACAAGTTTGGTTTTATTCTAAAGGTCTTTGCAAGGGCTATTTAATGGTATCTCAAAAAAAATCCATGTGCTATTCGTGCAGTGCCTGACGTAAAAGAAAAGCATCCTGAATTACCCCTGGAAACAGGGTAATTCAATTCGCTTGAAATAAAACTCATTTTAAAATATTTGAAGCATGCAGATTGTGCTCATCCATTACTAACAGTACTCCAAGTCTTCTTCTTCCTTTGTCGATGATGTAGATGTAGAATGAATGACATTTTCTGTGATTAGAACTCAGTTTTCCTTTATTGATATGGTATTACCATATCCATACATTACCATATTATTGAGGTGATATTACTGTTTCCATGGACATGCCATTAGGCATTGCCAACGACCTTGTCAACTGCATGCTTCATATCAGCAGCCGTATAGCATTTCTTCTGTATCTGTAAGCTTCTAAGACTAAGCTTGTAATTAAAAAAAAAAAACATAAAAAGCATGGGTACCTGAAACAGAAAGGAATATTTTAGTGACAACAATCAAATTTCTTGTAGAAATAAATTGTAGTTTAAGTTAATTACATTCCATTCTATATTGCCAGGTGCACAATTCTATCTATGATATTCTATGCACAATTTTGTGATGACCAATGATGCATTAATTTTCCATTAAGTGAAATTTTTTCACACAGCAAGGTAAATTAATCTAAATTCAATGTTGTTGATTGATTTTTTTTAACTAGAGCCTTTGCTAACTGAGGTTCTACTTTAACTGCATTTTTAGATGTGTCCCATATTGATGGTGTATGTAGAATTGTAGGTAAATCACAATTGACATCTTACTGGTCAGTCAGTGTCTAATAGAGCATGTGTCCATCCCTGTATCAATTTTAAAGGTGCCATTGTGTTGATTAACCCTCTGCAGCCCAGCTAATTGATCTGAAATTGTCATAAATGGAGTGGTGTAATCAATTGTCATCATTTCAGCCCAATTGTACTATTGAAAATATAGCGCAAATCAGGGTCCTCAGCCATTCTAACTAACAAAATTTCGTCACTTAAAGCCCTTGCCATTTTAATCATTCTTCATTTTGTCCAAGTTATGCATATCTATCAATAGTAGTATTTTGGGTTTAATGCTCAGGTTACAAAGATTATCCCCTCAGGGGGGACTTCTGACGCGTGTCTGTGCACATCAGAAGTCCTATGGGATTTGGCATTCCTAGGGGGATTGTTCCTGAGCGCCCCACCGCTGAGCTCGCGCTGTCTGACTGCAGGTCTCAGTTGTGGGGTTAACTTATTATGTAGGTAGGATACCCTTCTCTGTCTCTCTCGTGCGGGCGGCCGACGTCCCGTGTAAGCGACCTCTTGTTCAAGTGTCTTCGTTTCTGTTGCTTTTCACCTGTCCCTCCTTGTCACTTCGTCTCTTTGAGATGCTAACGCTGCTTCCTTTGAGCCAGCTTCAGCGGGCTGGACAATTGAGACCTTCCGCCCCTTGTGGGTGATGATTAACTTTAATTATGAATAATTGAGACCTTCCGCCTTGCTGGCGATGTTATATTTTGACCTTCGGTGCGAAATAGCTTGATAGCAGAAGCGCTAGCAAACCATCATACCACTACAACTACTACTTACAAAGATTAGAAAATTAACTTCACAAGATGACTGAGTCTTAAGAGTTAATGCAATGCTGCAATTATTTTATGAAATTCTGTCATATGTTATCTAAATATCTGTATTTTAGCTGATTTCCTCTGTGGCTGATTTGTCTATGTTTTTCTGACAAAATCGATTTCATAAGAGACAGACTTCACTCATACAATTGGTGTATTCTGAGCCCTAAACTGGTCTGAAAAGTCGTAAAAAGACAATTCTGCTCCAGCTGTTTACAAGAAAAAATAATTACCAAACAATATTATCGCTATCATCATAGTTAATCATATCATTACTTTATTACTTCATTAGCTGTTCTACCTATATTTGGATTTTATACTGTATCCAATTTTCATGTTATGATCCTAAAATTAGCAACATGTTTTCAGGATCCTCATGATGTACTGAAGGAGAAGTGCACGGCGACAAGCACATGTACTGCACTGAAGGAGAAGCTGGACGAGTGCAGTGACCGCGTCAACAGCAAGTCCAACACCACAGAAACCTGCTATGAGGAACTTATTGACCTGATCCAGTGCGTCGATCACTGTGTGAGTCAACATTAATTGTTTGTATAAAGAACTTGTGTTTGGTAAAATCATTGCAAGTAATCATTCCTAAAGGATGACAAATTTGAGAGCTTTATTTTTGTTCAAAATTCTTATGAAATTCATAATTTCTTGATCATACTAATTTTTACTCATTCGACGTCTGAAAGTAATTCAATGATTCATAAATGCTTCTTTGTTCACAGTTGGAGAAGACCCTGTTCTCGAAATTGGCATGAGAGAAGCGCTGTTTGCACATACGCTGTTCACCATCAGAACCCTTCTGTTCTTGTGACAACCAAAACTGGAGGGCCATCATTCTTGCACTTCTGTTTTAGGAATTAATTTATCTCACAATTGTTATATCTATACTTCATAATGTAAATAAATGAAAATACGTATCTTTTTGAAAACTGCTCATATTTTTATTGTCAATCGTCAGGACCTCCATCATTATCGAGGCTCTTTTTAAACTAATAACAATAGTTCATTATGGAAATGCAACAAAACTAGGCAATTTTCAAGTTTTTACTCGAGAAATGTACAAAAAATGCATCATCACTCGCCCCGAATGCTCTTTCTCTTCTCTTTCCCTCTCATAATTGCCGCGGCGAACAATTTAGCCAGAAACTCGACGCTGTGCTTGGAGTCGTCGCTGGCAGGCACCGGATACGTTACGAGCCTGGGGTCGCAGTTGGTGTCCACCACCCCGACCGTCGGGATGCGCATGCGTGCCGCGTCGTAGTAGGCGATGTTGTTGTCAAGAATATGGTTGTGTATGGAGAGCAATATGATAGCGTCGGGTAACCTGACCATGCAGCCGAACTGGCTGGTCGAATTGGTCAGCACTCCACCCGCCCACCACCGCGTGTGTGCGTACTCCTTACAACCTGCAGCTATTTCTTCCACCATGAACTGAAAAATTCCAGCATCGTTAGATTCAATGAATTATAAAAAACCCGTCGCGGTCCTGTGGAATAAGTTAATCGGGATAATTATTCAAGGTGTCTGAACAGCGTAGCTTTCTTTCTCAACAACGGCTTCTGAGTTGATTCTCAAATGTGCTTATGTATTAAACTTTCTATGGCCATGAAAACGCGCTTGAAATTTCATTGACACTGGAAAGGCCTTCATATGTATCATGTCGGTAATGGTACGGTGCACATGAAAATCTATTGACTGAACAAAATTGTATTCTAGTGTAATGGCGAGCCTCTAACTATAATAACATTTAGATAGTTATTGAATAGCACATTGCTGCCATGGTATAATTGACAAATGGCATCGATGAAAGGCGAGGCTCATAATTCTATAACAATCTATGTTACGAGGCCTTATAAACCTGCTAATAACATCGTATCTTTATCTCCACGAGTATATGTTGAGCAATACCAATAACTGTTGAGTGCATTTTGCGAAACATTAATGCAGATATGCTGCAAAATCAAAACCGTAACTAGAAGTAATGCATACTGAGCAACAGCTTGAAATGTTACGAAATTCAAAAGGTATCTTAAACAATTGCAAACCTGATATTGCTGCTGCCGTGCCACAAATAGAATTATTCCGTTCCTGAAGGCGATATGCGCGAGAAAATTGAGTGCCTTATGAAGTCTGGGCACCGTCTTGTCCAGGTCAATGATGATGTGGGAGAGGCGCGACCCTAGAATGTAGGGCCTCATGTAGTCGTTGAGGCTGCCCTCCTTGTGGCCCAGGTGCAAGCGCGCATTGAACAAGTCTTCCACAGTGAACATGTCGGTCACGCTGAAGTAGTCGGGGTGCGTCAGGCTTGTGCGTAATTCAGAGAGCCATCCTGCAATATATTGTCATGTTAAATAATTGCAAAGTAAGTAATTAATCAATCCTGAGGTAAAATTCGAAATCTATCATACTGCAATATTAGGTTGCGAAATTTTGATGGTTGCAGAATAAAATGGAAGTCGTAGAATGTATTTCTCGGGAAGAGCGCGAACTCCAGATCTGCAACCCTACACATTAGACAATAGGGACATGCCACGTCCGCCCGTGCATTAAGAAACTACAATATTTTTATTATCACAAAGTTGCATATTAACAATTTATTCCAGTGTATGGCTATTCTATTCAATGGCATAACTTGCCAACAAAGGCAGCGCTTAACAACATGTCAATAATGCCCACTGTGGCTAATTGACGATGCCCATCTGTGGGTTGCTTAGTGAAGAAATGCTGAGTACCGACCGACTCAAGTCACAGTCTATCTACCGTCAGCGACGTCCATTTAGTGCCTTTCAAGATTTTATTCACAACCTTGCAGACTATAACACGGTGGGAAAATCTATTCGATTGGAGATGCTAATGCCATCACAACAAATTATTCATGGGATCACATCAAGTTATACAACAATACTGACTCTTCCAAAACACATCTAAGTTTGTTTCATCGTCGACCACTCGATAAGAAGTAATAGGCGTTTATGCAGGATTATTATGAATTTATGAAAACGAAAGAGACTAACGTTGTCGAGTGGCAGAGTCGAGAGCAAAATCAGGGTGTACGTCATCGAAACGTGCGCCTGGCCTTGTGCTCTCGTTGCTATTGCTGCTGCTGGGGGTTGGCGTAACAAGCGCAGTTTTGGCAGCGGCGGTGGAGGCGACGGTGCCGCCGTGTAGACGACGGAGGCAGCAGCGCGGGGACCACTTCTGGACACAAGAGGCGGGCACGCGATGCAAGAGGGTATCAGGGCAACACAGAGGAACAGAGGACGTACGAAGCAGCCGACACATGGCGCTGTGAGATGTGACTGGCCGCATCAGCCCTGGAACAATTGACACTTGGCTGTGACATTACTCATACAACCAAACTAACAACACTTCCATTCGTTTAACATCAAAACACAATAAAGTTGATAGTAACTTTTAGTTTTATTGTTAATTTAATGATATTAAAAATTATAATAATTGTGTCACTTAACGAACTTGCACATTTTGAACAGACTTTCTTAACAATTCAACATCGATCAAAACAAATTTTGTCTTAATATAATAACATGTTATTAGAAACACGTACCAATAGAAGTCATGTTGAAGAAGATTCGGAAGAGCGGCATAACTTAACGATAAAACTAGGTAAAATTAATATTTCTAAAAATTAAGTCTATTTCTCCATCGCCTTAATGCGGAAATGAAGCCTTTGATGTTCCACCAATACAGATGCTGGGAGGAGAAATAATAATCAATAGACAAACAGAGCATTCGGAATCTTAAACCTTTCTTCACAGCTTCTACGGGTGGCCCAAAACATTCATATTTGTTTACAGATCATCAAATAATACTAGAAATGAACTTATACTGCAAGTAGGAAGATTACCGTGCACTCTTTTCCTCAAGGAGAATTTACGATTTTTTTTTTCAAGCAAAATTCAAGCAATGCAATTCACAAGTTATTTGAAAACAAGTAATAAGGGTTCTAAATAATTATAATCCATTACATCACATAAATGAAGTTGGTTCCAATTTATATTGCATGGGGCCCCGGGTTTGCAAGGCTACCCGTAATGCCTAGCAGGCATCCCCCTGAGTGACATGAAAGTCTGGACAGACAAGGACGAAAATTTTATACTTGTTCCTAAACGTGCGATGCAAGGAAGCTGCAGCAGGATATATTTAAATAGATAATTCATTTAAATAATTTTTTTGCACATTATTACGATGTTTTATAATTTCGCTGTATTACGATAAACTCAGAGGCTGCCAGTTGGACCACACAGCATCTTCAGTTATTGAGCAACACGGGCAAGAGAAACACTAGGACTATCAATACTTCAAGCACTAACTATAAATAATATTTCTAGGTAAAATATAAATACTAAAAATTAGAATGCACCATCGATTTTTGAGCAGATATGGTACAGGATACAAAGTCAAATAATGAAAATTGCAAAATAGTAAATGGAAACGAGATTTTCAAGTACAACTTAAATACTGCTGACGTAAGCTGAGTCTAAATAGGAATTAATATATACGTAATACTGTAGAATTAAAAAAGCCTTACAGTACATATATACTTATATTTATATATCAATCTGTAACATTAGTTTTGTTGTGATTCCTTTTCAACAAAGTAGAGGGAGATTCATGAAAGCATCCATAAGAAATCGTTAATTTCTTGAATGACAAAAATTTTGCATTTTTGGAATTTTTGTAGCTGGCACGGGCTTCAGAATTAATTCATATTCAAAATTCAAGTATATTCACGTTTAGCGGCAATCAGGATTTACTATACATGCGTGAGAATTTCGAGCATGAAAAAATATAATTTAGTGATTCATAAAGGCGCTGTCCTTAATACTAAAATTGACACCGTTAAATAAAGCAAAACCTGACATGTATCAGCCCGTATATCTTGACAAATAAAGCTTTTGTTCACTCTTAATCCTGAAGCTTGCAATAGACATTAAGATACGCTCATGTTTTCAGCCAGGTAACTAAGTAATGACGCTTAACTGAAGGTGTGTATCTTGAAGCATGGAATAAGGCCAGCTGAATGGTAGCATACAATTCAGTGAAGAAACGCGAATCATTCTCTTGCTTGCTCCTGTCTTGCAAATGGTTTATTTTCAGCATTGATGAACTGCTTACGTAGACCATCTTGTATTCTTTACTAGAGTTTTAAATCTACAATACCAAGGAGTCATTATTCAGCAGGGATCAACTCCTGACGTAGAACTTCTTGTATTCTTTTCCAGAGTTTGACCTCAGCGATGCTGTGGTCCACAGCGCTGCCGCCCCATATCATGACGCCATTGACCAGCCTGTGATACGACGCCGACGTGTAAGGAAGATATGGCGGCTCGATCACATGTCCAGCGTTAGGTCCCTCCATGAACTGAAAATATTATCACCTAATTAACATCACAACAACTCAAGTAATGTTGGCTATGTAATGAAAAACAATTGGAATAGAGTCATAAGACGGTTTTACAAACACAAAGCATCAGGAGTTAGACCACACAAAGTGAAATCAATTACTTCAACTATCATGAACCATTAAAACTAAAATTCAATTTAAAAAGAGTCAAGACTTATTTTTGAAAACTGAAACTTATAATTGAATCGTTCATCAGAATCAGTATGTAATTATCACCTCCCAGTATTTTTCGAGAGCCTCTGGGTTGCGTTCTCTGAGCAACTGCTTTATTATCTGCACCATTTCCGTGCCACGGAAGTTTTTGTCATCGAGTGAAGTGAACCATAAGACCTTGCATTTGATCTTCTCAATGGGAATGATGGTTTTTGGGTAATCCAGAGGGTTATTGACCAAGTGTGTGCCATCACCAGCGCCCTCTGGAGTGATCTGAAAATTAATACTAAAATACTTAAAACAACAATCGAAGTAACAATAAACAATAACAGAAATGTTAAGACGAATTAAGGTGGTTCAAAAAATATCGTACTGATATACACCTACATTAGCTTATGGCTGATTTTTACACCCCAAGAATAAATGCTAACATGTTTCATCAGTTCCGAGAGGTAATTATATTTTTTCACAAACGGAAAATACCCACTGGCCACAACTATGATATCCACAAGATAATAGCTAACGGTGATCATGTCGGTCTATTGCAATTTCTTAATCAAAACTGGCAAATAAATTGCTGCATAAAATGAAGATAAATGTGCAAAAATTCCCACATTGGCAATTTTTTAAATCAAGCTAGATAGTCAATGTATTCATAACCCGAGAACACCAGTCTCAGTATTTGCTCCGAAACAGTTATTAGATTAACCGGCTCAATTTTCAGTCATCAATCAATGAATCTTCATTATATTCCTGCCTATGCACATACCAGAATGCGGCTGTTGTCGCCGTAAAGCCCTTCAATAACAGATCCATCCTTGAACCTCATGGAACCGAAGATGTTGGACACGCAGCCGTTCAGGGAAATGACTGCTTTCACTTCTGGAATGTCCGCTCCGAGACTAAGAACGATGTCTCCAGCTTTGCTGAAGCCCATGACGCCAACACCGTTCTTGATAACCTGTTGTTTAAACCAGTGTATCTGGGGTCACTCAGCAGAAAGCTATTATTTCTGTTTTCATTACGGTTTGAATAAAATTTTTATTTTTTATAATTTTTTAATGTTTTTTTCTAACTTTTCAACAAGTTTCACAAGACTGTTGACATTGCCTCCATATTCATTTAGAGAAAAATTCAAATACCAAAGTAAAAAAACATTTACAATAACTTTTTAAGAAAATACAAATTCACTGTATCAAATTTTCAATGATAGGAAATCCACTAATTGACAAAAGTATAAATCAATCTGAACATAACTAGAATACATGGCAACTTAAAAATTAACTTCAACTCAAACCTTCTTATGATGAAGCACGAAGTCAACAGCTTCTTGGAAATACGCCGTGTCCAGCTGGTGGGTCAGGTCGGGAACCAGGTCCTCATAGCCAAAAAACGCCAATGAGAGAACGGCGAAACCACGAGCAGCTAGCACGGCTGGTCGTAGCTCCCGTAGACCTCCAGCAGACCCATACATGTCGACCACGCCAGGGAACGTAGTTCCCTGCAAGAAAAAAATTAATAGGAAATGGGCATCAAAAAATGTAAATTATTTTTAATAATAAAATAAATCAAGAAGATCATTGAGGTAATTAGAATGTAAAAGATCCTGGAAGAAAATATAATTCACTATATTAAATCCAGTTCTTTGCTCTAAAGGAACATTGCAACCAGTATTAGTTTATTTTCTATGTAGTTTAAACCAGTTTTTAGCAATCAATTCTTTCAATTAGCACACAAGTTCATCACCGCTATCATCACTTTAACCAGTGTTATGATAGATGAAACTCAGAGCCTAACAAACAAAAGGAGGAAAAAGATTATAGTTTTATGGTATTTAAATTGCACAGAAACATTTAAGATGCCTCCATCCTCCAACTTTGTTGCTTTATTAACTCAGAGACTCCAAATCTCGCTCTCACCTGGAGGGAGATGCAAAGTGCCCCTGATGCGTCCATGCCTCACAGGTATTGAGGTGCAACCCTTGCCCATGAGACGGCGAGTGTGCTGGGTGCTGCAAATGGGCTTCAGACCCAGAGACTTGCCCTTCTGCATCAGCTGGTACCCCACTGCGTCAGGGTATACCTCTAGCTGGTACTAAAAATGCACAATCACTGCACACAAATTCTGATATTACATATAAAAAATTTATTCTTTCCTACTTACATTACAAAATTTACAGTCTACCAAACGATATTTTTCTAGTACTGAAATTTAAAATTGTAAAATATTTGGGAAAAAAATAGAAATTTAATAATATGGAAATGGAGTCATACGTTCAGAGGAGAATACATGTCCGTGAGATGGATTCTAGCATGTTGCCCACTAGGTCCTTGTTGGACCATAGAGATGAATGGGCCCATGGGATATAGGCTAGCAAAGTGCCCCCCTCGTGATGGAGTTTTGTCCAAGTCAATAATTCCATGCTCATCAGATCTGGAAATATTAAAACCTTGAAATGTAAGATACATAGAATCTTTCCATAGAATTAAATGCAAATTTCTTCACTATACAGATATTTGAAGTAGCTAGAGTATTTAGCAATGAAGATTCATCTATGTAGTAAGTTTTGACACATTTATATCTGGAAGAAAATGGTTGGAAAGTTATGTTTTTATATAATGATTCTAGTGCATTTCACAAACCATAATATTTGAAAGAACAGATGATAAAATACTGATAACCAAAGCTAAAGTAATGCTATTTTTAAAATAAATTACTTTAATTTTAAACTTGACTCTTCATTCTTCAATTTTTTCTTCATTCTTGATTCATTTACAAACCTGTAATGGGCAACAGAGGTGAAAGGTACACCTTTCTGGTCAGTGAGGGAAGTGTGGAGAGTGTAGATCTTGTGCTTCTTAAGCCCTGAGATGGTAATGTTGACAGGATCATCCAACTGGCAGGCTGGAGGTGAAACTGTGATGCATGCAGAGCTGCTCATGCTGCATTTCTACAGAATATTGATGAAATAAAAATCAGTCAGCATTCAAATATTTATGTAGCTCAATGAGCAAATTACTAAAAGCCTAATGTTATTTGTTCTATATAAATTTGAAATAAATTCATATACATAAATATTATCAATATAAAAAGCATCCTGATCCAGTCTAAATATTACTGGCCAACAAGATAACCAAAATGTTATATTACACCAGCTGATGCAAGTAAACAAATTGTAAACCTGTTTAGGCAAGATTTCAAAATATTAGACATTAAAAAACAAAAATAATTAATAAATAGGCATTTTTTTTGGCAGATAAATGCCTATAATGTAAGATTGATATGCATGTTATTATGTGCAGTGGTGACTGAAGCATCATAGAGACTCAAGAGTAACTAAGAATTTGGTCAGCACAAAATATTCCTTCCATCTTGGCACAGCATTTTTGACTTCCAACAATCTACTCCAAATAAATTTTAGATGACATAATTTAGAGCAAATCTGAGAATATATGAAAAAATTAGAAATTCTGAACAAATACAAATTTAAATCTTATAGATCAATATATATATATACAATATTCTATTTAGCAAGTTACTGGGTCTTAAATTATTGTCCAAGAAGAACTTGCAGGCTGCAACAGACCAGACTCCTGCTTTACACATAGTGAAGAAGAGGATGTTAATAGTAAAAATTCTTATCAGGGCTAACAACTTGCCAGCTAAGCCAATTAACTTACCTGCAATAATTTAGAGTTGTAATACCAGGATTTTGGAACCAAGGCATACTGGCCATTTCTGCAGCAGCTATAAAAAAATAGTAATTTTAGTAAATATTTAGGTCTCAGTTGCTCTTGTCTTTCAAAACCTAAAAATAATATTAAAAACTAATTGCCTTCACTCACAGTGACTCACTCTGACACTTGTTATCTCAGGCTAAGCAGGATTGGAATTTTCCTACTTGTTTCTGAAATCTCGTGGCTCTGGCGTGATGAATTTTTAATACGTTTGGAAACTTGTGGCCTGATCTTGCACTTTTGTTAACAATTAGATAGGAGGTAATTCATGTAGCTGGAATCTTGCTGTTCCAGATATGAGTGAAAGCTCTAAATGCGACCCTAAATGCAGATGTTTTCCTTGCTTGAGGGGGTTGAGGCTGGGATGAGAGTACTGCTATAAATCTCATTGTTATAAATCTTTTGGCAGACAAATGCCTAGAGACTGAAGTGAAGAGAAGATTAAAATAAATCGAAGTAGAAACATGGTACATACCAGTGAAACATGTGAACTACCGGTACAGGCATAGGGTAGTTTGCAAAATGCACCAGAGATATTAGCCTAGCTATTAATGTTTTTGCTGACTGCTGAGTACCGTATGTATGAAATTATTGCAGAACTAAGGTTCCTAAAAAATAGATGGCAAGTGGCAACTGAGAAAATCAATTCACATCTTGAAAACTAAATGCACAGTTTGGAAATTTGTCAGCAGCTGTAAAATAAAAAAACAGCTCCTATCAATTGGTTTTATGGTTTAGTGTAAAGTATGTTATGTGACAGTGTGAGATTCCTAATGTATCAAAAATTTGTTACCTCCTACTTTGGAGCTGTAATCTTTTATAAACAAGTAGGACAATTCCAGCCCTGCTATCATGGCCTCAAAGCAGACTTTTTTTAGACTCATCCAGTCATCCTCAGTCTCAAATTTGTTTTTGAGTCCTATAATAAAGTATAACTGTATAAGACTAGACGAAGCTATGCAGGAGCATATGTTCAGTCTTAAAAGGCCTAGCAAATTACAGACCAGGCAATAAGTCTAGCAGCTATCTCAATCAAGCTATATCTGCAGCTCTGTGCAGAGAGTGGATGAATATTGCAAGATCTTTGGCAACGCTTCAGTAGCAAAATTTACACCTTCAGATCTTGCCAACACATTTAGATTGTAATTCTTGCATTTAATATATTTGTCAGTCTTCGGCCAACTATTTAGAAAAAAGTAAGGTTTCCGGTACGTTGGATGGATCAGGATGCAGTAAAGCTTGTCTGGAAATTGGTTGCGATGAGTTCCCGCCGAAAAAATGTGAACAAAATGTAGGGTAAACGCGGTATATTCCGTGGGTAATTCTGACACCTCTCTAGTTTTTCCTTTATATTAAGCTTTNTAATCGTAAACTGCGGCTTACGTCTGTTCCTCCACAAACTGCTCGTACGCGGCAGCGCGTCTTCCGCGTTCCGCTTGGCGGATACGGAACGTACGGTAATCGTAAACTGCGGCTTACGTCTGTTCCTCCACAAACTGCTCGTACTCGGCAGCGCGACGTAGAATTGATGGCCGGGATTGCGCGAACACGTGCGCCAAGTGAATCAATTTTCATTACATTGCGCGAACTGTGCACAGCAATAGATTAAAAAAAGTGAAAATACGCGGGAAAATTCACCGAAAACATACATCATCCTGAGTGTGGTCGGAACATAGGGATTTGGTAGGTTTGCATTCTAAAGGCTTTTAAATAAATATGGCAACATTTTGTGACATTTCATCATTGCTGGACGGTAGTGCGGTGTTTTGAGAGTCACGTAAAGCAAACGGAACTTGAGTAACGCATACGGTTATTTTTTTATAGTTTTTCATTTCTCAATGCGTCTTTAATGTGTTGGAATATACGGCGTTTATCCTAGTTGCGGTCACATTAGAGCGATCAGACTGCATCATCACATGTTCAGTTGACACTTGGCACTTGCTGTACAATCGGGCTGTTTTTAGGGTAAAATTAGTTATTTGGGGTAAGACGTGCATGCAACCTTGTAAATAAGTTTGTGGCTTGTAAATAGTTTTTCATTACTCAGCGTAAATGGCTTTACATTAAAAATTACCCAGCAATGCATTTTGAAAATGGTCGGTGACACTTTGGGCTTAAAAACCCATATACGGTATGCGTCGTGATGCTGCTTCCACTTTCTGCACCCTGGTCAATTGTCAGTTATGGAAAGATTGGGTTCCATAGGCCAGATCTTTTGTGAATCAAGTCATGAAAAATTCATGAATTGGCAACAGGCCATGGGCTTATTTCTTCAGTGCCAACACTTCTATTCTATTCAAAGTTAGGTATACCTAATAACAAGTATTTCATAAAGACTGATAAAGTTATCAGACCAGACTGACCAGTAAAAGTAAAGTAAAGTAACCTGCCCGGGCTGCCCCTCAGCCCCTGGTCCCCTGGATACTTGCATAATAAGTTGCATTACCTTTACGCTTTACCATACATGGCATACAATACACAAAATATTGGCTTAGAGTAGAGTAGATTTAGGAGAGGAATTTAGAGTAGATTTAGAAGAGGAAATTAACCAATTAACCAATGCAAACAAGAAGCCAAGCCCCTACTTGATTGTCTTGATGGCTTGGGCCCTGCTGGCAGTGCCCTGGCCCCTGGGAGGCTGGGGCTGTGGGGCATGCCCACACTGCCGCACAGCCTCACAGGCCGCACTCAAGTCCTAACTCCTAAACTTCAATCTTCAAATTGACAGAGTACCTAAATAAACAATAGTGAATAGACATTTTCCAGTATATGTCAATACTATGTGTACTGTCAGTGTCACTACTGTGTGAGACTGTGAGTGTTACTTCGTTAGGCCACTGCAAAGCTAACACTCCTGTCAGTACTCAGTCCTGTCTGTCCTGACACTGCTGACAGCAATACTGGATTGGATAAATGGAAAACCTCAGCAGTCGGCTCATGTTCGTCTATAACTAGTATAGGCACAAGTGTATAACCCACTATATTCAGACTAGGCTATAACAAGTAAAACAGATTAATAATTACCTTTTAACAATATTAAGCATCGTGGGACTCGGAAGCATTACTTGATTACTTCAATCAAGTGCGGTTGTTGAAGTGCCTAGTGTTATAATAATGTGACCGTCGATCGTTTTCTTTGCTTTCTTTTTGAGAAGCGCAGCCATAGGGCAACAAATGTGAACCCGGTCACCGTCAGTCCTCAGGATGATACAATTGCAACTTGCAAGCAAGTTAGCAACAACGTCCACAGATTTTCCTAAGAACCTTCAACCGGTCAACAATCGCTGCGCTAACACTTTGATTATACTGCGCAACTAACTAATTCGAAAAGTTTCTTTTTGTATCAAAACTAATGATTTCGTTAATTTAAGCAACTATTATTACCTAGCTAACACTAACAGCATTCTGCGTGGTTAATTGATTGGATTTTGAGGCTTCGAGGGCTAATGTTAGTCATGTACTTTGAACTGACGTCTGTCGTTATTTGGGGACAAAAAAAAACACGCCTAAGCAAGAGGGGATCTGTCTGGGGTTGCTATAGAATAGAAGAGTCGGCACTGAAGAAATAGTCAAATATGACGTGTCGGACCATTTCTAATCATGTGCACGTGGACTAAATAGGACGTATCGGCCACGTGCACATTATTAGTTATTCGCCATATATATATATAGATCGACTATTCGCCTCCTACAAACGATCAATTATTCACCACAATCGATCAATTATTCGTCAACTATTCGCCAATCAATCAACTATTCACCACATACAAACGTACACGTATAAGTTATAACTCTCATTGGATGTGCTATACTGATTTTTAAAATGTGTTCTAAATTCATGTAAAGAAAAGAGCACTTTTTGCCCTCATGTGATGGTGCCCTCATTTTGATGGTGACCCCGAATCTTAATTCCGCACCAAAGGATGGCCAACGCAGACGTCGTCCACCGCATTTAGATTAGATTCAGATTAAACAAAATTAGCGGAGCCTCACATACACGACATACATACGACATTCACCAGATGCAAACGATCAGTCACATGCAGGCTATATCAATCATACAGGTTATTTTTNCTGCTTGGTATGAACACCTGAGCAGCTGCCTTGGGATTGATGAACATCAACTGGGACTTCCACAGTGGTAAGAGCCAATGGTGATGGACAAAGAGGGCTTGAGTTTGCCACAATAGAAGCATAGGAAGCAGGTGAGCGTGGAACAACCGGACCAGGAGATTGTCTTTGTGCTGACAACTCTACTTCCTTAGCAGCCTGAGCATAGGTGTAACCAGTGGCACGCAGCTTTTCTACTGCAATGGCTTTCACAATAAATGGGCACTCTCGGGAATTTGCAGCATGGGATCCTTTACAGTTGGCACAGCACTTCTCATCTGATTTACAAACTGTGTGCTCATGTGGTCCAGCACATAGAAGACACCTTCTAGGAGAATTACAACCCTCTGCTAAATGTCCCAATCTTTGGCATCTGTAACATCTCAAAGGAGCAGCCACAAATGGTCTTACTGGATAGGATACATATCCAATTCTGACCTGACTAGGCAATGTCTGTCCCTCAAATGTTAACTTCAGAGTAGCTGATGGCTCACGTTTTCCATTTCGAGTTCTGGTGAGCCTAGTGATGCCAGTAATGACAGAGTCTCCAGCGTTAGCAATTTCCAATATATCTTCAATGACCACACTGGGATCGATTGGACCCACAACTCCACACACACGGATATCTGATCCAGGCTGGTAGCATCGGACTGCCCATTTTCCAATCGTGCACACAGCTAGAAAGTTGGACATCTGATGTCCTCTAAAAGAGGGTGATTCCAAGGCAATCAGCTGGCGCCGAGGATTAGTGCGCACATTCAAATCACTAATTTTCCCAAAAATTGAGTTCTTGATACCCTGGGCAAGGCCAATTGGGTCCTTCAGAAAGCTCAGAGCATTGGGCCCCTGAGGCTTCACCAAGATGGTCTGGCCAGAACCAGCACTTTGCAAAGTTGAATTTGATGGTAGTGTTTGCTTTGCCTTTACTTGACATTGGCTGCCATATGAATGTCCATTTACTGGTGCACCTGATAATTTTCTGCCATTCACAGCTGCACGTTTCACTCTACTGCCAGGAAGACTCTCACTTGAACTGTCTGAGTTGCGGTTCCTACGCTTTCGAGCACGAGCAGAATTGGCAGGGGTAGCCTCAATGATACCGTCACTGTCAGGGTCTGAGTTTTCAATAACAAGGTTGCCAGAATCTGCACCACCCCTCTCCACCATTGCAACTGACTCATCTGTCTCCACCACTCCAGATCCAGATGACCCTGGAGGACCAAATCCAGACCCAGCAAGGTAGCTGGGATCCGCCATGTTTAGCCAAACTCCAACTCCTTATGGAAAGGACAAAGCCAAAGGCACAAAACACAAAGAAAAAAAAAGAGTAAACAAATAAAAGAAATAAAAATTTTAATACAGATAAAGAAAGAAAAGAAAATATAAAATAAACTCAAAATAAATTAGGTAGAAGAAAAGAAAAACAAAAAAAAATAAAAAATAAAAAATAACAAATTCAGCAAAGCAGACTGGCAAACCCCTGAGGGAGCAAGCCAGTTGTGTTTATAAGGTATCAAACTTTAAATTATTATTATTTTAAGTAAATACAAATGCTTATCCTTCGACAATAAATTCACCGGTTCTTTAGAGAGCTCAAATAACACACGTGCTTTCGCCGTGAATGCAACTGACTTTCTCATATATATCGACTTATGTCGAGATATAAGAACGCTGACCTTGCGTTAGATTAAACTTTCCATCAAAACGACAACGTGGATAGCGAAAACAAGAATTCAACAATGGTCAGATGAAGAATACTCATGAACATTATTCATTGAACCTAAATATCGTCTGCATAAACTTTCTGAAATCAACAGCGTCTTAGTCAATGCTGGATAATTTTCAAAAATTTAGTGAAATGTTGTAACATTTTTGATCTTCGTGTTCTCTGTAGATTTATTAATAAAATTAGTCTACAAGTACGTTAAAAACTATCGCTCGCACACATGTTTCTAATTGTACAAAAATTAAATCCAATTCAAACCTACGAAAAGTTAAGCCAAATGCTGAGTGCTCTATAATTCAGACTCATCATTGTCTATAAGGCAGATTTATGATTAAAGCGAAAAGCACACAACACACGAATTTGGAAATTTGATGGTGAACGTACAGCCCGACCCATGTTTTTTGGGGCGAGCCACGATTTATTTTCTAGTTTTTAGTCCACAAGAAAAACGTGTTTTTTTAAACTTTTTTCTTAAGTATTTTATTTTCTCATTTTTAGTCCGTTGCTTGGTTGCTACACATGAAAAACGTAGGTCAGCCATCCTACATAATATTCATTTTATTTCAGTTGGCCACGCAAATGCACGAAAGAAAATTCTTTTCGAAGTTCTGTAGAAAATTGTATTCGAGGGGATACATCGTTGTTCCCGTATTTCATTTCATACATTTCATTGAATAAATACGCCTGGAAACGTGCAACAAATTATTGATTATTGTATTGTCATCGGGAGCTGAGCTTCCCTAAAAGTTTCAGAGCGCTAGCTAGCGGGAAAGTTGGTGAAATATCGATTGCAAGATTTGATCATCACAAATACAGACAGACAGACAGACAGACGGACACGAAAGCGAGCTAAGAAAAACGTGGTGAAAATCGAAGAAAGCCTAGTGTAAAAACGCTTTCCGTTTTTGAGTTTGGGTTGCCGTAAGTCCGCGTTCAGGTTTTAGGATAACCACGGTTTCAACAACAAATTTCCTTTTTATTTGTATGATGAAGCTGGTATCCAGGATACTTTACTGGTCTACTTATAGGACTCAAAAATGAACTTGAGGGAGTGTCTAAAAAACTCCCTGCTTTGCTACTATGGCCACAGCCTCCACTTAAGCCTGCTGAAGGCAATCATGGCCAATTTGGCCATACTACATCAAGTTAAACCTCTTCCGGTCAAACCTCTTTGGCGTAACCTACACAAGTTGCAACAATTATCCACTTAAAATACACCTAAGGGGACCTAACCTAACCTCTTTGGCTGCAGAAAGTTAAAAAAGGCGGTTCAAATGGGTCGCCTGCCAAAGACCAACACTGCCCTGGATGGGGAGCGCTGCCGTAGCCCAAAAATTTGACTCTTAAATCAGCCCAAAAGCCAATGCCAATCCTCTACATGCAATAGAAATAGTCAGTCTAATACCTATGCAGCTGTGCTTACTTGCCTCATCTCGCCACACCAGCTTGAAACAAGCAATGCCTCATCCCACAAACTGATACTACAAACAGATTACGCCCAATAGCTCCTACACCAATGATTTAAGGGGACCGACCTAGCTAAAATTTTCAATTTTGACGTTTTTCGGTTTTTGTGCTCATCTGAAAGCTGGAATTCTGCTCTTTCCAATGGTACCACTGCCATCGCTGTACGCCAATATTTACGTTAATGACGTCTCTTTAAAGGGAAGCGGGTGGGAGAGTTCTTTAAGAAATTAGATATAAATTAATTAGCTGCTGAAATCTTTGAATATAGTTTCTACTTGAGTTGTGCTGCAGTTACATGCTTAGTCTCATCTTAAAGCTGACATTCTGAGCTTTCCAACGATACTACTGCCATCTATATACGGCAATATTGACGCAGATGGCCCGCCTTTATTTGGGGGCGGGGGGTGGAGTTCTTAAGTAAATAGACGAGAGATAATTACAGCGGCATGACTACATATCTGGGTGCATCTGTCATCTGAGCTCAGTTACCCTCCTAGCTTTGAACGGAGAGGTGTGCTACAAGATGCTGCTTGCATCCTTGAGTGGACTAAGCTACAGAAGCCTGTACTTTGGTATCCATGCTACATTGAATGCCTATTTCAAGGCGCACGGGACTTTGTCGCGCCGTCCTGAAAAATTTGAAAAGTTCAACTTACTGTCACGGAAAACCTATCTCCTCCTACAGTTTTTAAGCTACAGCAATGAGACATATACCNTCGATGAGATGTGTATAAGAGACAGGATTTAGTCCCTGTGGCTTTCAGCAAGTAATCATGTTGGCTAATTTGCTCTGCAGCATGCTTGCGCACGGAGTGAAGTATGAAAATTATGCTGGTATTGGGCAATGCTGGGTTATTTCAGTCGTCCCCCTGGATGTAATGGACCATCATGATTCCTGCCTTCCGGAACGTAGCCTCCAATACTTCAAGCCGTCCGTATCTAGGCCGTGGGTCGAACCAGTCCTCGGTCGAACGGCCACTTGTTGAAGGACGATAAATTTTGGAACAGAACTATGCTATCTGAAACCTAACCTCAGATAAGGTGAACGTAAAATTACGGAATTTAACGATGCCTGGAAATCAGATTCGATCCGCGGCCTGGTGGTGCACGGCAGGATAAGGATTTATGCGAGGCCGGAGGAAGACAAGCCGAGTGGTTCACGGCTGATTGGATGATGTCCGGAGAGATCCAAGGAGCTCGATTC